ATATTAAATTGCACCTCTTTGGAAATTTCAGAGGCCGCAGTTGATGCCCTCTAGACCTCACAGGTTGACAATCACTGCTTTGAGACACAGACCTGAAAAGAGTGCTCAAATCAAGACTTGAGTCAATATACTTGCTCTGGGTCAGTGATCTAGAGATTATCGCTAGGGTTCAGCATATTAGCCAGCCAATCAACATTTTCAAAAGTAAGACAGCGATGGTAGTCTTCACGTCATGATACTTTATTTTACAGTATACCTGAAGCCAAAACGTTAATTTTGAATAAAGTAGGGAAAGGCTAAAACTAGTCACCTATGTAGGCCAATTTGACGTCTGTGTAAAAGGCATGCTTCCAACCCCCCCATATATTCACCTTATCTGCACTCTCTCATAGCTCCTTGCTTCTCTACAGCTGGAGAAAATACCCAGCACATCCAGGTATGAAGGAGAAGGTGGCCCGCTCCCCTGTGATGGTGCCAGGGCCTAAGAGCCAATCGATAGGCCCAAGAGCTGTCACAAGGGCGATTTAATGACATGCCGCTTAACTGGGAAGAAGTGAAGGTAAAGTATAAAAAAAAGAGTCAGAAAATTCCCTGTCCAGAAACAATGTCACCTTGTCACATGGTCAAGATGTCAGTGGTGCTTAAAGGTTAATTTGAACTCCTTCTTTAGCAATTCTACAATGCCATGCCAAGTGCCAGAACCTTTAACATAATTGACAAGTAATAGTTTGCCAAAAGTGAAGAAATACACAGGAGGACCATACTTTTTTTTTTTTTTTTAAAGGTAATTATTCACTCCTTTTCAAATAATAAAAAAAATACAAATGCCTTTAACACAATCATGTGCAATGAAACTCAGACAGAGAACATTGTGGTCTTACGCAAATAAATCTTAAATGTCATTTTTTTTTTTTAAACAGCTGAAAATCCAGTAAAACATTAATATTCTACAATAAAATAACAAAGTTACTTGTCTTCAACGGAGGGAATTAAAGAAAAGAAAGTTAGAGTCTATGATACAGATATCGCATTAAAGATCCATGCAGACCAGAACAGATTATCATACACTAAAATAATAAAGAACAGACTGAAAATGGTAAAATAAAATAAAAAAAAAATAAAACTGAAGTATGTGCAGTCAGTTATGTGGCTGGCTGCACCATTAACACAGCATGGAATGCAAGCATCAGAAAGGGATTTTTTTTTTCTCCAGAGAAACAACTTTCAAATGGACAGATACTAGCTAAAAGGGATTCTATTCACTGTATGGATTCCTGTTCAGACACAGTAAAATTAATAACATAGTACTTGTCTTAGTGCTAACAAACCATTATTCCATATCAGACTCGACACAAGTGTCTGTATTTGTTTGGATAACAAAGATTGTGAGATAATCCAACATGGTTTAAGATCTTTCAGTCCTGGCGCAAGACAAAAGCAGAGTGTCATATTCCTGGTGACTGGACGCTAGAGAATCTCATTGGGTTCCTCCATATCGACCAGACTGGTCATAGCCACCACCAGCACCACTGCCTCCTCCGTAATTCCATTGGCTCCACTGGCCTTGACCTTGTGTTTGACCTTGACTAGGATTCTGGGCCTGTCCTTGGCTCGAATACTGGCTCCATTGCTGGCCTCCTCCGTACTAGAAGACAAGCAAGGCAAAATGTCAAGTTAAAAAAAAAAAAAAAAAGTGCCAGCAGTATAATAAATCGAAAGTGGTTTTATTCAGCGAAAAGGTAACTTTAGAACTCCATTTACAATGGAGAACAGATATCACTATCTGCTCTCGGCTATACACTGCAATTTTTGTCCGCATTATGGACTGCGTTTTATGGCTCATTTATAAAATGAGGGTCCAGAGTGTACTGCCTATGGGTTGTAGGTAGTTCTTCCAGGTTAAGACTGAAAACAATCATCTGTAACATGACCAGCAGGTCACATGATCAGACTATTCCCCCAGCTTTTATTTTTTCTTCCATTTAGCACACTTGTAAACCTCCTTGCTGTGCTTTGTTAAGGGTCGTTCACACCACAGAAACAGTCTGGATGTGTTTCTGCATGCATGTTTTTGAAGCATTTCAGTTCATTTTTTCTTCCACTTAATAAGGAGATGTGCATTCTGGGGCGTTTTACAGCATTCCAGTACAGTTCAGTGTGGAAAAAATGCAGCATGTTCTACTTTTTTTCTGGAACTGTGCATACTGGTGTGCACTATGCCAGTGGGAACCATATAACCTACTACACAAACGTTTTTGATGAGAAAAAAAAAAAACAACAAAACACGCACTGGACTGCATGTGCTATGAACTGGCTGTAAATGTGCAATATTTATTTATTTTTTTAAGCAACATGTGCACCTTTACCTTGGTAAAGTTATACAGCTTCCTTAGAATAGGATAAAGTACACTAAGGAGGTACTTCATCCTATTCTATTCCTCTTCAAATGGGTTTTACGTAAAACCTGTCTGTAAGAAGACCCCTTTCCTCTCCACCCACCAAAAATGCATCCTTGGTACCCACCCAAAAAAAATGCATCCTTAATTGCGGTGCTATTCAATAAACTTCTTTATGTCATTTTTATTTTGGAAGGGGGGGGGGGTGGTACTTATATCAATTATTCTCTAATGATTGATAGTGGCTTCAACTCGGCGTCCCACTGTCATGTGCTAACAAAGCATTACAACACAGTACATTGGCCAACCGCAACAAACGTGTCACCAGCAAGCAAACACTACAAAAATACATTTAAATTATTTATGCTTTTCCTTTTAGGCTATTTTGAGAGCACTGATGTATAACTGAACATTACAGCATGAAGGCAATTAAATCTTTACAGATACTTTAATTACTACCCTGCTCACATGAGATCTCTGCTGTACAGACTTCCCTGTGCAACACATCTTCTACCCAAAATCTTCCACATGGTACTTTGCACATGTGCCCTGCAGCCTTCATGCTTTTTCATGCGCAGTCTGCATGTATGGGTACTGTGCTTAGGATTTCAGGCACAAGTATGACTATTATGAATGTGCTTAAAAGCAGGAGCAGAAAAAGACAAGAGCATTGAATAGGATATGACACCGATGAGCGATACTTACGGACTGTTGATACGGCTGACTGTAGCTTCCCTGGTTATAGGAGGAGTGAGAGGACGAGGAGCTTTGTGGAGGAGTCTGGCTGTACCCTTGGTTGTAACTTTGTGAACCACTGTAGCTTTGGCTGCTGCTGTTATAATTCTGACTGCCGTAGCCACTCCCGCTGCTTTGGTTGTAGCTACCTCCACTACCCTGGCTGTAGCTACTGCTGCTACCCTGGCCATAGCCACCTCCACTTACAGAGCCTTGACCGTAGCTTCCTCCACTTCCCTGGTTGTAGCTACTACTGCTCTGATTGTAGCTGCTGCTGCTTCCACTTCCCTGGCCATAGCCACCTCCGCTGCTTTGATCATAGCTTCCACCACTTCCACCACCACCATAGCCTCCACTGCTTCCACCTCCTTGCATGAAGCTGCTGGTGCTTCCACTGCCCTGGCTATATCCACCACTGCTTGCTCCACCCTGGCTGTATCCACCACCACCACTTCCTCCACCCTGGCCGTATCCACTTCCACCACTGTGGCCATAGCTGCCTTGTCCGAAGCTTGACTGCTGAAAAACAAGAGGAAGCAATGAATAACACATATGCTATAAAGTTGTGGCAAATGTACACATCAGTCAAGCAAGCACATACTTGGCCATAGCTGCTTGGTGCATTCTGGGAGAGACTTGAGGAGTGCCCGCCACCGCCATAACTGCTACCCTGGTTGCCTCCTGGACTGTAGTTCTGCTGCTGGCTGTTATGGCCAAAGCCTCCTCTGTTTTCAGAACCATTATCCTGAGACCATCGACTTTGAGAGTTTTCCCCTCGGCCAAAGCCTGCAAATACAAAAAGGGGTAAAAACTAAACAGTCATAAAGGCATGCTAAACAATTGCTATTATTTTTTCTCTCCACTGGAGCAATTTGGACCATGCTTCAATGTTTTTGTTTGCCTTCCTCTTGATCAACTGTGGATAGTGAACCTGTCTATATTCTGTTGCAGTAAATTAATCTACAATGCACGCAAATACATTTCGTGCATCACTAAATGCAAAATAACCATGCTGGTAACCTATTAGATATATGCACTGCTGGCTGGGGGATGAGGAAACACACAGGCCAAGGACCAGCAGTAAGACTGCTTGCTTCATATACCAAACATAATGTGACAGGATCTGCATTGTTATAAGTCTCAGCAGTTATTCCTTCCTGGCTGTTTTTTCAGATCGCTCCACAGGCAGTTTTAAATCAGAGACAGTCTGAAAATCAATGCTCTGTGAATACTGAGTCATTAAGTGTACCCAAAGATTAAAAATATATCTGACATAGAGAGAAAAAAAAAATTTTTGTTTCCTCTGCATGAAAATTTATTAAAAGGACAAGTTCACCTTTTGGACAAAAATAATATCTGCACATTTTTTTTGCAGGTAAAAGGCAGCGGGCGATGCTGCAGCTATGGGAACATGTTCCAAAGGTGAAGTTATCCTTTAAGTTACAATTGTCTCTCTCAACACATTTCCACATTCTACTTTCTCAGGTGCTACCTACAATGTCATGCCTCACCCCCACTATCACACATACAGTCATATGCAAAAGCTTGTCACATCGGAGTGGCAGGTAAAGTCTGCACCAGAGGGGAGGGGTGACATATGGACGATCCTATTGCTAAACAATTTTAAACAATGTACCAGGTCATACTCTTCACACAATATAAAATACAGGAAGTTAGAAGGAAAAACTACTCACCACGACCTCGTTCACCTCCACCACCTCTGTACCCAGGTCCACCACTTCCACCTCTCCCCGAAAATCCTCCTCTGTTCCCTCCAGGAGGACCACGGTTCTCAAAAAACGCTGAAATTCTCTCTCGGCCTCCATCTCCTCTGCCTCCATCTCCTCTGCCTCCATCTCCTCTGCCTCCATCTCCTCTGCCTCCATCTCCTCTGCCTCCTCCGCCACCAGGAGGTCCTCCACCACGGCCCCTAAACTTCTTTTCTGGAGGTGGACCAGCCTTCTTTCCCTCTGCATTGTATTGACGGACTAATTCTTCAGCCTCCTCCTTCTGCACCTCAATGTAGACCACCTCATTCAGAAAATCTCCAGCTTCCGGCAAGCCAAAATTAGCTGGAGAATTAGGAAACAAAATACATGTCTTAATCAGTGCACTTTAAAACCGGATGAAATATCAAAAGTCGAAGTTTATGTAAAATAGCCTGAAAAAGCTGTGAGCAAGATAATGGCCAAGAAGAGATTAGCTCTTTGCGCTCTAGGAAGTACAAGAGTTTAGAGGACTACTATCATATACTTTGACGCTAGATTTGTTTTCTAACTAGATAAATGACAGGTTCACCACTGTACCAAGTTTTCTCCATTTGTGGGTAATACCTCTCACCGTGGTTCGTTGAATCCCAAAGCCTTTGAAATGGCTTTGTAACCTTTTTTTGTCAATTACTTTTTTTCTCATCTGTTTTTTGAATTTCTATAGATCACGGCACGATATGTTGATTTTTAAGATCTTTTAGCATGCTTCACTCGTCAGACAGCTTCTATGTAAAGGATAAGTTCACCTTTGCAGGTAAAAAATATGTGCATTAATTATTTTTTTGTTTCTGGAGCCTCTAAAGCATTGCACCAGTGATCTGCAGAGGTGAGGGGTGGGCATCATTTGTGGATCCTGAATATGGGTGTAACATGTTACAAAAGGTGAACTTATCCTTTAAGTGGTTTCTTGATTCAACAGGTCTGGTAGTAATCAGGCCTGGGAGTGGCAAGTGAAACTTAACTCAGCATTCCAAAAAATGTGGTTAATCACAGTTCATTCATGATTTAAGCAAGGGGGGTGGGGGTTGGGTTCTTAGGCAATTACCTTTTCACATATGGCCAGACAGCTTTGGACAGCTTTTTACCCCCTAATAAATTAAATACGCAATAAAAAATTGCATTTTGTATTTACTCGAGTTATCCTTGTGTAATATTAAAATTAGTTTGATGATCTGAATCTTTTATGTGTGACTTGCAAAAAAAAAAAAAAAAATCAAAATCAGGAACTGGCCAAATACTTTTACACAGCACTGTAGTATTTTCCTTACTTCTAGCAGTGGAATGCCATGATGAGGAAGCAAAGTAAGGAGAGTATGTGCTGCTGATGCATGGACAGCAAGCCTGATGGTTTAAGAGGCTCTACGAGCCTAAAAGGACTGAAGAGTTCTGCAGCATTTGGAGAAAAGTAAGTTACATTAAACTCCCTGGCATCCTTTACTAGACATACTGCAACAAAATACCAGCTCTCCATGCCATTCATGCTTATGTTTCCCATTCCTGCACTCTTGTTTTTAGTATTTGTAAATTTGCAAGGACCTTTTATGGGGACCAACTACCTTTTTTGATGATGGTATTTATTAATTTTCTGAATTGTACAAGGCACAAATACCATAACAATACACTTTTACATCCTCTTACTGAGTCCGTGTCCTGTGTAACTCATTTACGTATCCATTACAAAGTGAAGCCTGGCAATACAATATCAAGTCAAACGTATCTGAGAGGAGTATAACAATAAGACATGGTCTAACAGGAGCCCAATTGGTTATATAGTGAGAAGAGAATTGGTCCAAGGTCCCAAACTTTATCAAAACTTTTTAGAGTTTATTAGTGTATGTAAGTTAGTACAGTGGGAGAGCAGAATTGATCAGCTATTTCCACGCCAAGAGGGTTGGCAGGAAGGACCTCTTCCAATCAATTAAAATACTCTTTTGGCAAAAAAAGTACAGTGCATGCAGTAGTTTTTTTGGTATGAGAACTGGTAGGTCCTCCACCAGCCCCAACATACAGACCCCAGGGCACTGAATATTTGGGAGACCCATAGCCAACTCAAGAAATTCACACAGTTGTGACCAAAATCCTTGTATTGGGGGGCATAACCATAAAGCATGAAAGAAATTGGCTTCTTGACCACATAAATGAAAGCAAAGAGGAATATGTCTAATCCCTAGGATATACATGCGTTGGGAGGGTGTAGTACAGTTGTGACCAAAAATTATTCAACCCCCAATGCTGTAAAGGGGTTTAGGGACTATAGTGTACATTTTGAATTGTATTCAGAATCAAATCCTACAAGGACGTTGTAACTAACCCAAATGCAACTAAAATGACATCAATTGTTTTATGTAAGGTAATACAGTAGTAAATGGTTCTTATGTGGTTTCTTCATTGCCACAATTATTCAACCCCTTAAAGACTACCACTCTGAAGAACTAGGTTCATACAGGTGCTTTCCATCAGGTATTGAAAAACACTGTGGATGTCACCGAGCAGCAATCAAGCATAATAAGCACCAATTAGGCAGCTTTATAAAATATAACTGTGATTCAGCTCCTTCTAGACATTTACTGGTGTGGTTACAAACGTGAAGGCAATGGTCCAGGAAGACAAGAGAAGAGGTGATTTCTCCGGCTATAAGAAGATTGCAAAGATGTTAAACATACCAAGAGACACCTTAGGAAGCATCATTCGCAAATTCAAGGCAAAGGGCACTGTTGAAACGCTACCTGGTCGTCGTGCAGAAAGAAGATGCTGACTTCGACTGCTGTGCGCTACCTGAGCGTTAGAGTGGAGAGAAGTCCCCGTGTGACTGCTGAGGAACTGAGAAAAGATTTGTCAGATGTGGGTACAGAAGTTTCAGCCCAGACAATAAGACGCACACTGCGTAATGAAGGCCTCCGTGCCAGAACTCCCAGGCGTACCCCCTTGCTGTCTCCAAAGAATAAGAAGAGTCGACTGCAGTATGCCAAAAGCCATGTGGACAAACCACAAAAGTTGTGGGATAGTTCTGTGGCTGATGAAACAAAATTAGAACTGTTTGGGCCCATGGATCAACGCTATGTTTGGAGGAGGAAGAACAAGGCCTATGATGAAAAGAACACCTTGCCTACTGTGAAGCATGGTGGAGGGTCAATCATGCTTTGGGGCTGTTTTGCTTCTGCAGGTACAGGGAAGCTTCAGCGTGTGCAAGGTTACCATGAATTCTCTTCAGTACCAGGAGATATTTGGATGGAAACGTGATGCAGTCCGTCACACACCTGAGGCTTGGGAGACGTTGGACCTTTCAACAGGACAATGATCCCAAGCATACCTCCAAGTCCACTAGAGCATGGTTGCAGAGGAAAGGCTGGAACATTTTGGAGTGGCCATCGCAGTCACCAGACTTAAATCCGATTGAGAAACTCTGGTGGGACTTAAAGAAAGCAGTTGCAGTGCGCAAGCCTAAGAATGTGACTGAACTGGAGGCCTTTGCCCATGAAGAATGGGCAAAGATACCCGTAGATCGCTGCAAGACACTTGTGTCAAGCTATGCTTTCACGTTTAAAAGCCTGTTATAACTGTAAAAGGATGCTGTACTAAGTACTAAGATTGAATGTCACTTGGGGGGGTTGAATAAAACTGATAATGCTGTGAGCACAGAAAAGACATTTGTGGTTATTTCATTATAAACTGTTATGTTATATTTGTCTGACCTACAAGTGCCTCTTTAATGTAAATGTAAGCAAGATGACTGAATGATCAAAAGCAATGTCAAACTGGCCAAAACACTCAATTTCAGTGGGGGTTGAATAATTTTGGTCACAACTGTATATTTGATGAAATAGCTTTAACCGCTTAAGGACCGCCCTATAGCAGATATACTGCTACAGGGTGGCACTTGTGCGCAAAATCACGTATATATATTTATATATAAATTCACAGCCGCGGATGTCAATCACCGGGTCCCGGCTGGTAATTTAACCCGCCCGCGCCCAGTGATTACTGAGCATCTCCGACAGGGAGGAAAATTGTTTTGTTTACAATCTTCCTCCCTGTCAGCTCGAGCACACAGCTCGGAATGGCTGTGCACAGTACAGCCATCCCGATCAGTGTGCTTACAGTGAAGAACATCCCCACCCCCCTTTTTAAACACTCCCAGCACACAGTTAACCCTTTGATCGCCCCTCACATTAAACCCTTCCTGCCCAGTGTCATTAGTAGTGTCAGTGCTTTTTTTTTTTTTTTTTTTAGCACTGATAACTGTATTGGTGTCACTAGGGTGTCAGTGACACCAAGCTAGTTCCCCCCAGTGTCAGAATGTCTGCCGCAGTCCCGCTAAAAGTCGCTGATCGCCACCATTACTAGTAGAAAAATAAAAATCTAATTATCTATACCGCCATTTGTAAAACGCTATAACTTTCACGTAAACCAATTAATTTACACGTATTGGGATTTTTTTTTTTTTTTTTTTTTAGCAAAGACATGTCGCAGAATACATTTTGTCCTAAATTTATGAGGAAATTTGATTTTTTTTTTTTACTTTTTTACTGGACATGTTTAATAGCAGAAAGTCCAAAATATTGTATTTTTCTCTCAAAATTGTCAGTCTTTTTTTGCTTATAGTGCAAAAAATAAAAAAATCACAGGCAATCAAATACCACCGAAAGAAAGCTCAATTTGTGGGGAAATAAGGACGTACATTTCATTTGGGTGCAGTGTTGCATGACCGCACAATTGTCAGTTAAAGTAACACAGCGCCATAACGCAAAAAATGGACTGGTCATGAAGGGGGGTAAATCCTCAGGAGGGCAAGTGGTTAAATTGCATGAGCTTATCCCTAGAAGAAATTAAACATGTCATATAAGTTTACTCAAAATCCTCCCAATCCTCTTCGGAGAGCTGAGGAATCACTGCATGCCATTTAGATCTAGCCCTGGGAGGGTAAAGATGTCATGTTAATATTAGTGTGCAGGGACAAGAATTTTACAGGTATAGATGTTGCAGTCTATTTAGCAAAAGGATACATTTACTGCTCCTAAACATTTTTTTAGTATACATGTAATAATGATAAGCTTATCAATGCAAGCTAATGATTTAAAAAAAAAATGCTTCTATGTATTTATAGGGACCGGCCATTTATGCTCATTACATATGTTGGCTTGGTCTCCTGCTTAATAGCCTGCATCCTATGCCCTACTCATCTTTATACCACTGTAAGCCAACCAAAAAGGATATGTTAATTAAAAACCAGGCTCCCTTTTATTCAGACCTAAATGAGCAAGATTAAGAAATTACCTTTCATTTCTAGCACGGCAGAGTCAGGGACATCTTTCCCTTCCTCATCTGTCCGTTTAACAATACGATCTTGCAGGTCAGCATCTGTGGGGCAGATTATGACGGCCTTGCGCTGAAAACCTTCAAACGGTCGCATTTTCCTGCGCTGGGCTGTAGCATAGACATTGGTCTAACGAGAGAATGACCAAAAAATAAATAAAATGGAGAAGATGAGCAACTGTTCAAAGCATAGGGAAAATCTGCACTGCTCTGCTGACTCTTACCTGATCTAGAATGTAGTTCCGTTTCCTGCGGGAAGCTATCTGGATAAGTTGGTTTAAACACTTTGTGGCTTGCTGAATAAGCACATCCCACCGACCGGCATAGTTACGCTGTCTTCTAAGACCCATTACCTGGGGAGCAGAGTTCAGTCAAAATTATGAAAATGTACTGTGTAATTGTGTGAAATTCTCACAAGGAAACTCTTTTTTTTCAGCTCTGGCAGAAAACGATCAATTTTCATTATCTTTTCTGTACACTATTCTACTTGTTTTCTGAAGTTCTATAGGAAAGAGATATATAGACAAGCAGAATGCGTAAAACCTCACCTTGGACAATCACTGCTGCCCTTTATAAGACATGCTAATGAGTTGGAACAATGCTGGCATTCATATCTTTCCAACTGGGAAAAAAAATTGTCACTTGGAATTGCAAGCTCAACAGCAATCCGCCATTCACAAATTCAACTTTTTTTCTCCAGTTCAGGCTACATTGGCCCATGTAGCACAGTATGCAAAGCCACAATGTGGCCAGTTACTAATGGCCATGTAGCAGGTGTACCTGGTATTTGTTATAGGGCTCCCCAAAGATTGCAGGCACCTTTGTGGTCAATTGGGTGTAAGAGTACAATGCGTTGCATATTTCAAAACAAAGAATTAGGGAATAGTAGCAGCTGATCTTGGGTAAAAAAAAAAAAAATCATTCTATCCAAACTGGTATTTAGTTTTCATAGATGCCTCTAACTTCAGTGCTGCATCTTCACATCCAGATCCAGAATAAAAGCCAACAAACAAATGGCAATTGCCCCAACCTATAACTGGCCTTTGCAGCAAGGAGCACAAGGAAGGGCGACGCCAGTTATAGGTTGGGGCAGTTGCCATTTGTTTGTACTGTTGGTATATTAGTGTGGGGGCACACTGGACACCTGCTCTGTAATTGTGCTATTTGCTGGGTGTCCAGTGCACCCCTGTGCCTTTAAGGAGGGGTGGGCTACCTCCAGGCATACCTGACTTTAATCTATCCATTGATATTATGAAGGGCGTTCAATTCAAACTGGGACTTTTGAGTTTATACAATAAAAGAACAAATTTCAAAGAGTAGAAACTGCATTTATTTTTCAGCATACTCCCCTGCTACATTTATACACTTATCCCAGCGTTCAACTAATGCCTGGAAAGTTTCAGCATAGAAAGATCTCTCAGTATACCTGAACCATCCTAGGACAGCCTGCATCACTTCATCATCAGTGCTGAAATGCTAACTTCCGAGGAAGTCTTTTAGATATTATGCGTTGATTATCCAGGATCAGGCATTCTATGCACTGAATGTTCACAGGAATGACTGCTATAGGCTGGGAACCACCATGGCTGGGATTGTCAAGGACAGACATACAGCAGTCTTTGAAATGTTTACAACATTCAAATGTCTTACTGCAGCTGAGAGTCTCATCACTGTACCGTGCTTAAAGTCTTCTGCAGATATTTGCGGGTTTTACGCCTTCAATCACAAGAAAATTTATCATCACATGCTGTTCCATGCACGCATTAACACTGCTGTCTGCCATCTTGATTAATGGTCTCTGGACTGCCCCTCGATATGTGCGCTGCCTATCAGTAATAGGACACACTTGCCATTTACTACTGTGTGTAGTACCGGCACACTAGCTTCTTTTTTTTTTATACCTTTAAAATTAAAAATCCCCATTTGACTTTACCGCCCCTCATATATGTGCTCCTCCTACTATGGTGGGTCTCAACATTTATAGAATTAGGATTGCAATATACACTAGGGTGTCGTGAAGTGGCCCTGCAGCTTACGCATATATACACGCAAATATGTGCAAACTAAATCCCTGGTTTTAACGTGAACTGTCAGGACAATTCTGTTTGTTGCAAGCTGGTTGGTGAGCTGGGAATTTTTCCTTTGTAGTTTGATAAAAGTCAAACCACAATATTAAACCTTCGAAGACAAGCAACAAAGGCTAAAAACAAAAACAAACTGTGTTTTCATCCAGTAAAATATCTATTAAAAATGTATTTGCTTGAGGAAAAAAAAAAAAAAAAAAAAGACAGCACAGCTATAAAGCGGTTAACTTAAAACACACTCTCTTACCCTCATCTTTTCCATAATGGCATTGGTGCCAAGTATATTGTATTTCTTTTCAGGGTGTTCGGCTGCATGCTTCATTGCCCAGGTTGTCTTTCCAGCTCCAGGCAGTCCCACCATCATCACAATCTATAAAGATAAATGCAACATCATGTAGACACCATAATAAACGAGCAGGGCCCTCTGTTTCCTCTTGTACCAAATTGTATTGTAACTGTAATGTCTACCTTCATTTTGTAAAGCGCTGCGCAAACTGTTGGCGCTATATAAATCCTGTATAATAATAATACCAAACTAGAGCTATTGTCTGAAACAGTCATCTGCGCTCTCTGTGGAAAGCTCACCTCACACTCTCCTTTGTTCTTAGGAGGTGATGTTCCTCGTACTAGTTCATAGGGGGGCACATGCTGGATGAATGTAAAGCCTGGTGGAATACTGCAGAAAGGTTCGGCTCTCTGCCCGAAGTTAAAATCCACGCAGCAGTTCTTCACTAGTATGTGGGGGAATAAGGCTTGATCGCCTAAAGTACTTTTGCTCACACGGAAAGCCGTGCCCAAATACCGTCCATTTTTAGAGAAGGACATCTCTATTTCTCCACGTGCTTCAAAATCCTGCAAAGATAGAGAGACACGAAAAAAAAAAAAAAAAAAGAAATCAGGACTTTTAGGACATTAGCTTTGATAATGTGCTATCAACAGCACTGGATTATAATTCGTGCATCACAAGTATTACATTTATGAACATGTAACTCCCTTTTCTATAAGAGCATTAGAGTAAATCTGCACTTTCCTACAATAAAAACTGACACAAACACGTCAATTATTTTCTAGAGCTTTCAAGTACCCTAGACGCCGTAATATGGAATTTTCAACTTCAGCATTTAAACCTACACCAGTGTGAGGACATCCTCAGTTACCAACAGACATCCACATGATGCATGGCCAAGTACCATGCTTCTAAAGGAAAATACAACTTGAATATTAGTGATGTGGTTCTTGGAGCACATTCCAGAGGATATACAGGGCTTGAACAAAAAAAATGGAAACAGTACATGATTTGCAGGTGTGAAAGTGATGACATGTTTTGTGTTGAAAGTGGAAGTGATGTAACATTCTTTTGCTTCCATTGTGTGATGAGACACCTAGCTAGCAGGTGGGGAGTTTTTCATTATTCACTACGTGCGATGCTAGTAACATGGAGTCATGTCAGAGCTTACTGAGCTTCAAACAAGGCAAATTGTTGGTCCCCAGTTAGCTGGTGCCTCTGACTGAAATTGCCAATTTATTTTCCATGTTGCGAGGTACTGTATTAAAAGGTACATTTTCCGGAAAAATGCAGTCAACATGGTCAACTGAGCGAAAGAGACAAAAAGAACATTGTGCGGGATTGTGACCTGGAATAAGAAAAAAAAAACAACTGCTGCAAAAGTGACTGCAGAGCTCAATCCCAGTCTTTACAGAACATGGATTGGTAGCTTCAGTCACAGAAGCACCAACAATTTGCCCTCTTTGAAGCTCAGTAAGCTCTGACATGACGTTGTATTACTAGTAGTGCACACAGCGAATGACAAAAGTGAGGGTTCCCACCTGTTAGCTAAGTGTCTCATCACACAGTGGAAACAAAAGGATGTTACTTCACTTCCACTTTCAATGCAAAACATGTCATCACTTTCATACCTGCAAATCAAATAGTGTTTTCACTTTTTGTCTAACCCCTGTATGTGCAGGAAGATGCAATTTAAACACCCTGGACACGCAGCTTGCATTTACCTTATGCAGTGTGGATCAGCATTGCAGCACACATCACTGTACAAATCCCTATGCATACGTGCTCTAGTGTTGACCTTTGCTAAATAGGCACTACAACCATCAGCAGAGGAGATCTACACAGAGTACAGCACATTTACACTCAATAAAGCACATTTACAAGGTCAGTCCATGCAGAAAATTAAGATGTCATTAAAAAAAAGAGCAGAAGGGGAACACAGCAGAGTCAATGGTCCTCAGCTTACAAAAAACATAGCTTTTCCACAATGACTCACTGAATCTGTCTGTCAAAATACAGCTGACAGAGAGTATCTCACATTTAAACTCTAGGTTTGGGGTCTAGGGCCAGGTAGAAATATCCTAATGCCAGATCAGAAAGAACAGATTCTTCAGCTAGAATGTGTAGAATTCAACAATCTATAGTAATCCAGAAAAAGAATGCGAAAATATATTTCTTCCTAGGACTGTAAGCTGAACAAGAACTCTCTGTCCAGAAGCCCATAGGGTCACAATTAATTGCCATCTGCTTGTTGCATAGTGTCCATCCTCCTATTGGCAGAACATATACGCTTGAAGTCTGCTGTGACCCTTAAACAATGAGAACTTTTTTTTTAATCATTGGTGCAATTTACAGACTTCTGCAGACTGTTCCTCTAGCCCCAGGTTCATATTGAAGTACAGTCCATTGGTTACAGAGCTGGAGGAAGTAAACAGAATATTACAAAAGTGCGATGACAACACCCTGTGAATGGATGACACAGCAGTGCAGGTGGAGCCACACATAGCATCACCAAATTTAAGAAAAACACAGGAGTCTGTGCTTTAATACATCTTTTGACCACAGACAAAAAGCCATATAAAAGTGAACGTATAAAATGTATAGGAATTGAAAAACATACAATAAAACATCCAATAACATCATTCTCTGCAAAGGTTTCCCCATAATTTTCAAACTTGCTGTTCATAGATTTTTTTGCTGTTCCTCCGTAACCATAGGAAAATGGCTCCTCTCCTGTTATTTAAAAAAAAAAAAAAAGTTATGAAACAAATAGAAAACGTACACTGCACAAAAAAAGGACCACTTTTTAATCAAAGCATAGTATCAAGTCAATTAAACTTCTGGGATATTTATCTGGTCAGTAGTAGAGGGGGTTGTTAATTTAATTAACACCAAAGCAGCTGAAACTGATTAACAACATGTCCACTAGATGGGCAAAAATGAGACAACCCCAAAAACAGGTATGGCTTTACACCCCGGTCACATCAAAGACGATTTTGAAATCGTGCGACTTAGTGAAGTTGCAATTTCAAAGTCGGATTACTTGCTGATTTGAGGTGCGATTTGCAAAACATCTGACACAGATGTCTATGCAAATCGTACCAAAAATAGTGCAGGCACTACTTTACAAATTGGTGTGGCTCCAGCCACGTCGGAACCGCACCTATATGACCACTTTAATAGAGGACAATAGGGTGCAACTTGGCATACAATTTGAAAATCACATGCCAAGTCGCACCAGGTGTGACCGGGGTGTACAACACATATCAATGCATATCCCCAGCCACCCCTCCCTTCTACTACAAATCCATCACTCCCACCCAAACCCTATGCCCCCCAAGTGACAGACTCCCGGGACAGACCCCCACCCCATTCCGAGGCACCCGGGGCCACAGCCACCCACACCTCCCTAAATCCCCCTCCTATCCTAAGGAAGGTGGACAAGATCCACCTACAATAGTCCTCTGGAGCAGGGCCGACACTAAAGTTCTGAGAATATATATTAATCCAGCTGTCATGCGCAAATGGAAAGGTATGATAGAGAATCCCAACACTGGATACAGCCTGGTATCACCCCACTTGGGAGGAAAAAAGTGAGAGCAACAGGATAGCGGCAGGACCCCACATCAATTCAACTATGTCCTTGTAATGGGGGTATATGTTATGCCTCTACAGTCCTAACATGTATAGCGGCTTTCTCCGGATACCATGAGATCCATAGACCGTCCAGGCAGACCACCTAACCAGCTCCTTCAAGTCCAGCCAACCATGTATGCATGTAATGCCGAAGGTAATTGATTTACCTGTAGCTCAGCCTGCACTTCACAGGTGGGTCTCTGGGAAACCGGCAATATGATTCAATATACATAGAACACATGTTATACATGTGTTTATACATATACATGTGGTCCAGTATGTTCAGTATCGTCCTTTCCTCTGTAGTCAAAGACCACAATGTCCACGGACCAGTAGTATAGGTGTCAGTAATTCTCACTGAAGTCGTCATGAAGATGCCCTGGTCAGTGGGAGGGGAAAAACATAGGCAGTCCTGCTATCTTGAGATGTTCTCCTTTGAAGACGCCGGAGTCCATGGCGGCATCCATGTGTCTTTCGGATACAATATGTCATCCCAGCAAGACTTGACACCTATACTACTGGTCCGAAGACATTGCAGGCTTTGACTACAGAGGAAAGAAAGATATTGAACATACCAGACCACACATGGTGAGACTGTTCTATGTATATTGAATCCAGAGGACTATTGTAGGGGGATCTTGTCCACCTTCCTTAGGATAGGGGGATTTAGGGAGGTGTGGGTGGCTGTGGCCACAGGTACCCCAGAGTGGGATGAGGTCAGTGTGGGGGGGGACGGATTTGTAGTGGAGGAGAGGGGTGGATGGGGCTGGGGATATGCATTGATATGTTTTGTACTTTTACGTCCCTAATAAATATTGCAGTTGTGAGGTGCGATATCCTTTTGGTGGATTAGTTTTGCTGTCAGTGTCACTACTGGTACCATGAGGTGATACCTGGACCCTACAGAGGTTGCACAGGCAGTCCCAACTTCTCCAGGAAGACACATCAATATGTGCCATTGCCAGGTTTGTGGTGTCTCCCAGCACAGTCTCAAAAGCATGGAGGAGATTCCAGGAGACAGGCAGTTACTCTGGGAGAGCTGAACAGGGCTGAAGAAGGTCCTTAACCCATCAGCAGATACCGGTCCTCCAGCAGGCCTCTGGTATGAATGTCACACAGACCTCTACAGGCTAGAGAACGGCACATTGATTGCCATTAGGTATTGGGATGTAATCCTTGGACCCATTGTCAGACCATACACTGGTGCAGTGGGTCCTGGGTTCCTCCTGGTGCAGGACAATGCCTGGCCTCATGTGGGGAGAGTATACAGGCAGTTCCTGGAGGATAAAGAAATTGATACCATTGAATGGCCCCTGCGCTCGCCTGACTTAAATCCAATAGAACACCTCTTTCGGTCCATCTAATGCCGCCAGGTTGCACCTCAGACTGCCCAGGAGCTCAGTGATGCCCTGGTCCAAATCTGGGAGGAAATACCCCAGGACACCATCCGTCGTCTCATTAGGAGCATGCCCCAACGTTGTCAGGCATGCATGCAAGCACGTGGGGGCCATACAAACTTCTGAGTACCGTTTTGAGTTGCTGCATTTTCAGCAAAATGGACTAGCATGCTGCATAATTTTTTCACTTTGATTTTTGAGGCATCTCTGAAATCAGTCCTCTGTAGGTTGATAATTTTCATTTCTATCAAATGATGGGGCATCCTTACGTTCCTAACACATTACCCCGTCCATATTAGTATAGATATCTAGCTTGATATTTTCCCCCAGAGATCTGATGTGTTTTCAAAGTGTTCCTTCAGTTTTTTTTGAGCAGTGTATAAATTTACAGACAAATATGTAAACTGTTATAGGACAACCAGTATCACAATCTAATGTTCTTCAAAATCATAGGTGTGTAGTGGGGAATGCGAAGCAGCAATATTTAAAACACAATTTATAGATTTGTCAGTGGATGAAATATTGATATCTAAGCCTGGTATCGTATTTACTCTCACCTATTGTGAGTGGTGGGATAGAATAACAAATTGAGGCCGAGGCCTCTTTAGTGCTTGTCCAGATCAGAATGCTGGGTGCATAGGGATCTCTGAAACTATATGAAAGAACTAGCAGGCACCATTTTATGAGATGATGGATGGATCCTAGGCATTCTACAGTGGGTGAAGATGGTTGGAATTTTTTATGTACATAGAATTTACAACTTGGATTTTGTTAACTCTGCCGGACTGACAACCAAATTGATAATACAGCCATCAGGTTAAAGGGCCTGCAGATGTTTTAGTACTGCCAGTTGTCCAATTCTTGACTGCCGCTAACCCAGATGTATACAGTCAGTTAATGAGAATGAGAATTTTGCAATGCAGTCCCCATGTTTTTAGTAGTAGGGTTCTTTAAAGTGAGCCTATGCTCAAATATTTTATGGCCAATATACAGGTCACATACACACAAAAAATATCAACTGGCACTCAAACGTGTCTGCTGTGAAGTACAGAGAATAACATCATTGTTAAGTCATACCTAACTGCGTGGTACAAGAATCCAGAGACCACCCAACACGTACTACATGGGGATCTGGCTCATTGGATGGTAGGTCCCCGACTGCAATTTCTTCCTTAACCTGTATGGGACAGAAATGCAATGTGAGACCCAGCAGGTTTTTATGTATTCATAAGGCAAATATCACCCATTCAAAGCTCAGAAAGTCATACCTTCATCTCAAAGCAGACCCGACCCCTGGTGACCCCATGTGTTGCCCGAGCTCCAGACCACAGGTAAGCAAACCCTTGCATGGTAAGTGGGAAACCTGTTGTGCGATCCTTGCTGAGCTTGAAGTGCAGATCACTGTTATCTGAAACAGGAATATCCTTTTTTATTACTACTAACAGAATTAACCCCTTCCTGTAAGGCTATACATTGTTTCTTTGAATGTTCCTTTATGGGAAACAGCAGACCATGTTGTATAGGCCCAGATATTAAGAAAACAAACACTAAAACAGTATTTATGATTGGTCTAGTGATCACTATCAATTGACAACCATCATCAGCTGTGAGTCAAATTATTTAGCTCCCGCTACCTCCATGCCTTGACTAGTAGCCTGTCCACAGCACATTATACAGTAATGTGCTCCCATGATACCACTGCTCATGTGTTGATAAAGACAGATATCCACTAGGCTAGATCAATGTATATCTCACGAAAACACATCTCACAAGGACATGAAATTTCTACTACTGGGCTGTAAGATATTAACAAATTATAACAACTCACAATTATCCAAGACTACAACGCTCTCATCAAATGGATCATCTTCATCATCTGTTCCACGACTTTGTGGGGACCGTGCTCTGCTAAAACAAAAAAAAAAAAAAAAAAAAAAAACCCACCAAAGTTTAATTTCAGTCCAAGAGTACTGATAACGATTTATCAAGTTAAAAGGAAATAGGGCCAAAACTACTGGACTTTACACCACCATTACTATTATCCCAGGTATCCCAAGAAAAGCGAGAGTTTTTTTTTATACATTATATATAAATAATATTACAGCAATTTGCTACAATGTGATTTGCAAAGTAAAAGAGCATTTTTTTTATATTTTTGGACTCCACATCTCTTGATTTTCTGTGTTGAAGCAGTAAGTATGGAGCCTACTTGATGCAAAATTCCTATTTTACAATTCTTGGAAATGCTAGTGTAACTCATCCATAAACGAATATTTATAAATAATATTTATCTAGCCATTAGAATAAATTCATTTAAAGTGATTCTAAAGCTAAAAAGTTTTTTTTTTTTTACCTTGCATTAAAAAAGGAGAAGTACAGCCAATGCTCTTTTGACTGTACTTCTGTGGATCACAGGAGTGCAGATCGTTCTGCACTCCTGTGACCCATTTTCAGCTGACAACAGGCTGAAGCCTGCTGTCAACTGACGTCATTCAGCTGGTCCAGGCTGTGTAAAGATTCCAACTTTAAATTCGGGATCCACCAGAGTCTGGAGCAGCACCTCCGCTGAGAACCTGAGCCAGCTGCTCCCTCCACTTCCACAGTCCAGCACTCCCATTTACCCTATGTGTCCATGCACACTACAGGCATTTTCAGGGGTTTAGTGGCAGGGCACAAAAAACACCCATCACTTGTGCGTTCAGGAGAGGTGCTTTTGAGCATAAAGGAAAAAAAAAAAGTGAAAAAACACGCATGAGAATGCATTAACACTAGACGCGGGAACACGCATTAACACGCGTGCATGCAAAAATACTGAGGCGTTATTCTGTAATTTGTCCTGTTTAAAATGACTGTAGATTTACGATTGTGGCACAGAGCATCGCAAAGTTATTTACAAATGAAGTGTTTTTTCCTAATGCAACACTTACATGTTACACTTACATTAGGAAAAAGAGCACAAAATTGAAAAAAAAAAAAAAAAAAAAAAAAACACCTTTAACAAATATATGTTAAAGGTGTAAAAACCCAAGGAACAAAGCAAACAAAAAAAGTTGAAAATATTAGTAAATAAAATATTAAAAAAAAAAAATCAGCAGGAAAATTTAATTGGAGAAGGAGAATAAGGAGTTAATTATGGCCGATTAGAGTAAACTAGGGGTTAAACAGGAATAAAAAAACAAACCAAAACCCTTTTTTTCCCCCCTTTTAGCACTTGTCAGGTTGCTTTAACCATTCATCAAAGTTTATCCCTTTGATCTGTAGATGAAAAGATACAAAATGAAACAATGTTTCTTTGTATCTTTCTGTGTTAGTGGCTGAGCAATGTTGTTGCTAAATATTGTGAAGACTGTCTACAGCTCCAGATGCCAGGACCTTCTCTGTGTACTGGGCAAAGCAGCTGTGGTTAACCACTAGCCTACAGGGCACTTATACCCCCTTCCTGCCCAGGCCAATTTCCAGCTTTCAGCGCTGTTGCACTTTTTGACAATTGCGCGGTCATGCAACACTGTACCCAAATTACATTTTTATTATTTTTTTGTGACAGATAGAGCTTTATTTTGGTGGTATTTAAATCACCTCTGGGTTTTTAAAATTTTTTTTTCTTAAACCAAAAACCACTGAAAATTTTGAAAAAAAAAAAAATTTTGTAAATAAGTGATTTTTCTCCTTCACTGATGTGCGCTAATGAGGCTGCAGTGATGGGCACTGATGGACACTGATAGGTGGAACTGATGGGTGACACTGAAAGGCAGCTCAGATGAGCACTGATGGGCACTGACAGGTGGCGCTGCTGGGGCTACACAGATCATCAGGGTACACTGATCATCAGTTCTCTGATGATCTGTGTACATGTCCCCTCTGAGGAATGCCGATTACCGGCTCTCCTCTCGAGCTGTCAGCGTGACAGCTCGTGAGGAGAGCAATCCCAATAACCGGCATTTCCCTGTTTACATGTGATCAGCTGTGATTGGACACAGCTGATCACATGACCGAGCCGGCATCTTCAGCTCTTTCCGTGGATCAGTGATCTGCTGTGCGCTGCGAGCTCCGGGAGCCACGCATGCGCAGTGAGAATGAGAGGACGTCATATGACGTCCTCCCAGAACAAGATAACCACCTTGCGTCCAGGGGCGGACTGACCATTTGGAAATTCGGGCACTGGGTCAATAGGTGGCCCTATGAGATGCCCCCGGTACCTTTTTCATAGGCTTTTTTGAGTTTGGGCAACGACACGGGCCCCATGATCCCCTATTTCCTGGTGGCCCCATGAGTTGTCAGTCCGCCCCTGCTTGCGTCCGTCATATTACTATATGGCGGGCAGGAGGCGGTTAATCAGCTGAATTGTCTTGTTCTTCCTAGCTGCAGGGCAAAAGGAGTGGACAGGGAGGGGGGGGGGGGGGGGGGGGGGGGGGGGGGGGAGAGAGGGAGAGAGGGGGGAGAGAGGGGGGGGAGAGAGAGGGGGGAGAGAGGGGGGGGAGAGAGAGAGAGGGGGGAGAGAGAGAGAGGGGGAGAGAGAGAGGGGGGGAGAGAGAGAGAGGGGGGGGGGAGAGGGGAGGGGGGAAAGGGGGGAGAGGGGAGGGGGAAGGGGGGGGGAGGGAAGGGGGGGAGAGGGGGGGAGGGAAGGGGGGGAGAGGGGGGGAGGGGAAGGGGGGGAGAGGGGGGGAAGGGGGGGAGAGGGGGGGGGGGAAGGGGGGGGGAGAGAGGGGGGAAGGGGGGAAGGAGGGGGGGGGAGAGAGAGGGGGGGGAAGGAGGGGGGGGGGGAGAGAGGGGGGGGGAGAGAGAGGGGGGGAAGGAGGGGGGGGGGAGAGAGAGGGGGGAAGGAGGGGGGGGGGAGAGAGAGGGAGGGGGGGGGGGGGGGGGGGGGAGAGAGAGGGGGGAAGGAGGGGGAAAGAGAGGGAGGGGAGAAATATGCAGTGCCTTGAAAAAGTCTTCATAGCCCTTGAAATTTTCCAGATTTTGTCATGTTATAGCCAAAAACGTACATGTATTTTATTGGGGTTTTGATAGACCAACACAAAGTAGCCCATAATTGTGAAGTGGGAGGAAAATGATAAATGGTTTATAAATTTTTTTTTACAAATAAATATTTGAAAAGTGTGGCGTGCATTTGTATTCAGCCACCCCCCTGCGTCAATACTGCAATTACAGCTGCAAGTCTTTTTGGGGATGTCTCTACCAGCTTTGCACATCTACAGTACAGATAATAGAGCAGGGCTTGAAAAAGCCACTCGCCCCATGCAAGGAGAAATTCCTCTGTGGCGAGCGGAGAGCACAGATGAAGCTTGGAGCGACTGCACCTGCGCTCCAAGCCTCATTGTGAAGCAGAGTTCCGGTTTACACCTTCTGGCTCCTGCGGCACCACCGCCGAGGGTAGGTGCAGGTGCAGGAGAGGTCCGATCTCTTCCGCTGAGAGGAAAACACCCTCTCCACCGCCGCGGGGAACTCAGGGGGACAGTAAGTACTGTATACAACATGTCCTATCACTATAATGAAGTACAGGGGAGCTGAGATATACATTACTCAGTAATGTATATCCCAGCTTCCCTGTACTCCATTATAGTGATATGACATGTATACAGTAATGTATATCCCCCCTCCCCTGTACTCCATTATAGTGATATGACATGTATACAGTAATGTATATCCCCCCTCCCCTGTACTCCATTATAGTGATATGACATGTATACAGTAATGTATATCCCCCCTCCCCTGTACTCCATTATAGTGATATGACATGTATACAGTAATGTATATCCAAGCTCCCCTGTACTCCATTATAGTGATATGACATGTATACAGTAATGTATCCCAGCTCCCCTGTACTCCATTATAGTGATAGGACAGGTATACAGTAATGATTACTGTATACATGTCATATCACTATAATGGAGTACAGGGGAGCTGGGATATACATTACTGTATACATGTCATATCACTATAATGGAGTACAGGGGGAGGGGGGATATACATTACTGTATACATGTCATATCACTATAATGGAGTACAGGGGAGATGGGATATACATTACTGTATACATGTCATATTACTATAATTGAGTACAGGGGAGCTGGGATATACATTACTGTATACATGTCATATCACTATAATGGAGTACAGGGGAGGGGGGATATACATTGCTGTATACATGTCATATCACTATAATGGAGTACAGGGGAGCTGGGACATACATTACTGTATACATGTCATATCACTATAATGGAGTACAGGGGAGGGGGGATATACATTACTGTATACACGTCATATCACTATAATGGAGTACAGGGGAGGGGGGATATACATTACTGTATACATGTCATATCACTATAATGGAGTACAGGGGAGGGGGGATATACATACTGTATACACGTCATATCACTATAATGGAGTACAGGGGAGGGGGGATATACATTACTGTATACACGTCATATCACTATAATGGAGTACAGGGGAGGGGGGATATACATTACTGTATACATGTCATATCACTATAATGGAGTACAGGGGACGGGGGATATACATTACTGTATACATGTCATATCACTATAATGGAGTACAGGGGAGGGGGGATATACATTACTGTATACATGTCATATCACTATAATATCACTATAATGGAGTACAGGGGAGGGGGGATATACATTACTGTATACATGTCATATCACTATAATGGAGTACAGGGGAGGGGGGATATACATTACTGTATACATGTCATATCACTATAATGGAGTACAGGGGAGCTGGGATATACATTACTGTATACACGTCATATCACTATAATGGAGTACAGGGGAGCTGGGATATACATTACTGTGTACAGTTTTATATTTTGAACTATTTATTCTAAAGAAAAATGTAATTTCATAAGCTTTAAGGGGGCGTGGTTGGGGGCGGGCTGGGGGCGGACCTGTGCTTGGTTGGGTGGGGCAACTGGTGGAGATTAAGTTTTGTGACCGGCTAGTAGGTCTGGACTCGAAATTTTAACCCCTGATCTAGAGAGTATGGGCAGCACAGTGGCTAAATGGTTGGCACTTCCGCCTGGCAGTACAAGGGTCGTTGGTTCGAATCCCAGCCACGGCACCTCCTGCCTGGAGTTTGCATTTTCTCCCTGTGCCTGCGTGGGTTTTTCCTCCGGGTACTCCGGTTTCCTCCCACACTCCAAAGACATGCTGGTAGCAGGGGCGGACTGACAACTCATGGGGCCCCAGGGTAATAGGGGATCATGGGGCCCCTGTGTGTCTTTGCCTAAACTCAAAAAAGCCTATGAAAAAAAAAAAAAAAAAAAAAGGTACCAGGGGCATCTCATGGGGCCCCCTACTGACCCCGGGCCCTCGGGCAGTGCCCGAGTTTCCAAATGGTCAGTCTGTCCCTGGCTGGTAGGTTAATTGGATCTTTTCTAAATTGGCCCTAGTATATATATGTAATAGGTATGTATGAATGTAAGTTAGGGACCTTAGATTGTACGCCCCTTGAGGGTTAGGGACTGATGTGAATGTACAATATATATGTAAAGCTCTGAGTAAATTGATGGCGCTATATAAGTACCTGAAATAAATAGTAACATTTTTGCCCATTCTTCTTTGCAAAATTGCTCAAGCTCTGTCATATTGGATGGAGAATGTCTGTGAACAGCAGTTTTCTAGTCTTGCCACAGATTATCAGTTGGATTTAGGTCTGGACTCTTGACTGGGCTATTCTAACACATGCAAGGTTTCCGCCACAAATAATGCTTTGTTTTTAAGCCAAAGAGTTCAATTTTGGTCTCATCTGACCAGAGCACCTTCTTCCACGTTTGCTGTGTCCCCCACATGGCTTTTTGCAAACTGCAAACAGGACTTCTTATGGCTTTCTTTCAACAATGGCTTTCTTCTTGCCACTCTTCCATAAAGGCCAGATTTGTGGAGTGCATCACTAATAGTTGTCCTGTGGACAGATTCTCCTACCTGAGCTGTGGATCTCTGCAGCTCCTCCAGAGTTACCATAGGCCTCTTGGCTGCTATTTTTTATCAATGCTCTCCTTGTCCGGCCTGTCAGTTTAGGCGGACCGCCAAGTCTTGGTGGGATTGCATTTGTGCCACTCTCTTTCCATTTTCGGATGATGGATTGAACAGTGCTCCGTGACACGTTCAAAGATTAGGATATTTTTTGTTTATAACCTAACCCTGCTTTAAACTTTTCCACAACTTTATCCCTGACCTGTCTGGTGTGTTCCTTGGCCTTCATGAAGCTGTTTGTTCACTAATGTTCTCTAACAAACCACTGAGGGCTTCACAGAACAGCTGTATTTATACTTAGATTAAATTACACACAGGTGGACTATTTACCGTATTTTCCGGCGTATAAGACGACTGGGCGTATAAGACGACCCCCCTACTTCTCCTGTTAAAATATAGGGTTTGGGCTATACTCGCCGTATAAGACTACCCCCCTCTTCCAACCAATCACGGCAAGCAATGTACCAGTATTTTCTGTGCACACTGTGCACACTGCATACAAAGCCTGCTTGGATTGGGTGGGTCAGCTCTCCCTGCCTGCCCAGCCCTGCCTGTCTCCAAGATACCATAAATTGCACAGAACTGCCACAGACATTATAATATTAATAATTAATTACCGTATCTCATAGAAGTTAAGGGGACAAGGTCGGATGCAGCAGTACCATACCGGTACTTCCGAGCTGACGCTTCTGCACGTCTTCGGCAGCAGTAGACGATCACTGATCGCCATTCCTCGCAGAACTGCATGAGACGTCGGATGCAGCCGTTCAGTGCTCGATTGATCGTGACTGAAACTGTGACATGCGCAGAATCACTGTGTATCCCTTCTCTGCATATCACAGTTTCAGTCAAGCTCAATCGAGCACTGCTGCATCCGACGTCTCATGCAGTTCTGCGAGCTATGGTGATCCGCGATCGTCTACTGCTGCCGAAGACATGCGCAGTAGCGTCAACCCGGAAGTACGGTAAGGTTTCAGCACAGCACCCGGCGTATAAGACGACCCCCGACTTTGTAGACGATTTCCAGGGGTTAAAATGTCGTCTTATACGCCGGAAAATACGGTACTAAATTAGGTGACTTCGTTGGAAATTGGTTCCACTAAATTTTAGTTAGGGGTATCAGAGTAAAGGGGGCTTTAAATGCACACCACACTTTTCAGATATTTGTAAATAATTTTGAACATTTATCATTTTCCTTCCACTTCACAATTATGTGCCACTTTGTGTTGGTCTATTACATGATATATCAATAAAATACATTTACACTTTTGGTTGTAACAAGACAAAATGTGGAAAATTTGAAGGGGTATGAATACTTTTTCAAGGAACTGTACAATGCATCTCTCCCCTCCATTCACAGAGAGAGGAACACAGGGGCAAGGTTCACAGTGAACGATCGCTGTGATAGCCAATCAGAGGCTATCACAGCAATCAGGTAACCCTGGGTCCCGATCGTTAGTACAGAACCAGGGGCTCTCTGTGAGACCCTGAATGCTGTGCTGGGAACGAGCTGTTCAGCACCCTTCCAGCACAAGGACACATACGCGTATGTGCGACCCCATGCAAATAAGCGTAGTCCAGTGGTGCTGCATATATTGTCAGCCCCAGTGAGTTAAGCATCTGAATTTATTGTGAGAGAATGCCGACCTAATCTATTTAAACACTCACGAGTAAAACACAAACTTGTTTGGTTGTGAGGAGGTGGTTCAGAGCTGCGCAATGTGGAGAACCCTGTGTTATCATGTATTGTACATCAAGTTACTAAAGGAAATGATAGATTGACCATACTATAGCAGTCTTCTAAAAATCAATATTACGCAATGAATAATGTTTTTTAAACCTTATAGATAAAGACTGAAATTATTTTTATTTCTAAACCACCAAACCTATCTGTAACTGCCTATCTAGAATGAGCAACTGCCAGATGTACACACCTTCTATCATCGCGGTGTTCATAGAATCCCCTCCCTCTTTCCTCAAATGGTCTTTTGCGGTTTTGGAAGGACTGTGGAGGACCAGATGCATTTGGGCTCCGGTAACCAGGGTCAGGTTCCTCCTGTTTAAAACTCTGTCTTTATGCCTGAAAAGGAAAAAGGTTTTTTTTTTAATATAACATTTTTATTTTAGCCATTATACAGTTTTAGTGAGAGAAACTTTAGAATAAGGCAACAAGATAAACTTATGTTAAGAATGGTCACAGTAGTTGTAAAACATTTCTGAATAACATCTCTACTGAAAAATCTGAGACTCGCCAACTCCCTAACAGAAAGTAAATACATTTACAGATCTGGTCAAAAAGCATAATCAAAGTGACATATCCGACAACAGTTACATTGAAATGACTATTTTCTTCTTTTTATCTCTTCTCTTTTTCCATTCCTACTTGTCCTCTGATGCAGCCTCTCTCAACCCCTGAAGAAACCTCAGGGGTTTCTGAATGTCTAAAAATTGCCCAAAACTTGTATACAAGCCAGCGGGTAGAACAAACCTGCCTTTTAGCGACACAAAGCCACAGGTTTTCATTGTGCACCATTTATGACCTTCTAGCCGTCCTGACAGACAATGACATAAATTGATAAGGAGGATGTTAGCTGCCTTCACAGTATCTTAGTTTGACCCTCCCCTGCCCTCTCCATCAGTGTTGGGGTCACATTAGCTCAGTGATGGAGAAAAACTGAGTGAGAAGAGAAACATTGGAATACTAGTCAGTACCAGTGTGCAAAAGTGTATTTGCTTTAGAAGAATAAATCACCTTTAATGTTGGGTGTCCTATGTGTGTAGATGTTTGCTGCGTTTA